TTATAGTATTAGTTAAATAACATAAAATATAGCATTCATTTTGATAAATAAAAGTATTTAGGCCATTTTTACAGAACTGAATGATACTTTTTTTATTGAAAATATTAAAAATTCAAGTTCTGAAAGTGAAAAAATACATCAGATAATGAAATTCTGATAAAATTAAAAGTTTTAAAGAAAATTTTGATAAAATACATTTAAGTAACTTTAAATTTGTGAAAAATTCTGATAATTATATTGAAGGTAAAATTTATGATAATTTGAAATTAGAAATAAAAAGGCTTTTAAAAAAAGAAATTACTTGTATTGTTCTAATTGTTATAAAAAAATTAGTTATGAATGATTCCTTACATGTCAGGTAGAGTTTGAAAGTTTAGACAAAAATGTGTAAAATATGATTATTAAAGGACCAGCTTATAGCTTTTCAGAAGGATGAAAATATAAAAAAGTAAACTCAAATAATAGAAAATTTTTACATTTCAATTATTATTTTAATAATAGTCTTTCAATTTGTCATATTACATATCAGGATCTTGTTTGAGTTAGTCATATGTATTTAGATAATGTAATAAAGCATTTTTGAGAATATAGTCTTGAAGAATATATATATGATAATACTGGCAGAGCTTTAAAAAATATAAAATATGTTGAAGTAAATTATGGTGTAGCATCAAAATATATAATTTTTTAAAAAACTATTTTAATATACATAGTATACCTTCACCTGAGCAGTATTTTAATAAAATATCTATGCCAGTTGTATTTTTCTAACAAGTTATAGTTATGCTTCAGTATATCGTGATTATGTACAAGCTTATAAAGATAAACATGAAAAAAAGATACATATTATAGCTAAATCAACTTTTTTTAAAATCTGGAAACTTCTGATACCATTGCTTCAATTTATATCTTCAAAGTCTGATCTATGTGAAACTTACAAATAATAAAATTAGAAATTCAGTATGCTACAGAACATGAAAAAAATTGGAAATTACAGAAAAATATTTAATTCATTTGAATTGTACAAAATAAGAACATGATTACTATAATTCTAATATTAAGCATACAGTTGAAGATGACAAATGTAATTTAAATATAACTGAATCTCAAGTATTCATATTATATATGATTGGATTCAAAATATACAAATTTCTTACTTGCTACAATAAATAGGATTATTATTTTTTAAAAGTTCCCAAAAAGTGCATTTATTTGGAGGTTATAATACTGTTAATTTTTTTCATATAGAATAGACTAATTATGTAATTGATAAAGCTAAAAGGCCAGATGATGGTAAACAGGGAAAAAGTGTAAATTATACACTAAGTTTAGTTTGGCAAGCAATTTAAAAATATAATTGTGAAGAAAATAAATTAATAATTACATGTGACAATTGTGTAGGTTAAAACAAAAACAATTATTCTTTGTTTTTTTGTTTATGGTTAATTGATCGTGGTATATATACAAAGTTGAATTAAATTTTATGATACCTGGATACACAAAGTTTATTTGTGATAGCTGTTTTGGTCTAATTAACATTTTTTATCAGAAAAGCAAAGTAAATACTGTAAGATGATGTAGTTTCAATTATCAATCATTCTACTACAGTTCATCTTAATTCTGCTCAGCATTATATAAACGGGAAGGTTTTCAATATTATAATTTTAAAGTTTAATTTCAGATGTTCAAAAAGTTACCGAATATTCAAAAATTTCAACATTTTTATTTTATATTACAACATCCTGAAGTTGTTTTTTATAAAGATAGAATTGAGGATGATTATAAAAAAGCTACAATTCATACTTTTTCTTTTGATTCGAATATTTTACCTCCTACAATTAGTGTTAGATCACTTTCTTTGAAAAGACAAGAAGAATTATATAAAGAAATCGCGCCATATGTTGATTTATCCTATCGAGATATTATATGTCCTAAGCCAAATGAATCTGAAACGAATTAAACCATAAGTATCGGATATGTTCAAAAGTTTTATTAAATAAACACCTATTTTGTTCAATAAGCTATTTTTGTATTCTCTAAGACCTTTATAAATAATGTTTCCGGGTGAACTAATTATTTTTTGTACTTTTGATCTCAATAAATAATATGAAATAATTTATTGATTTTCTATTAAATATTACAAAAATTTTATTATGGTTACGCATTTGCATATTTTATAATAAAAATAAAATAAATACATTATAAGGAAGCTAATGTTCGAAATAAATTGCTTGTGAAATTTTATCCTAGGCCGTTTTTGAGAAATCAAACTTTTCCCGCAGTGATCGACAAAATTAATTGCTTTATTTAAATTGCGATTTTCTCGAAATCACGTGATCGGCCGAGCCCCGGCTTTTGCTGTGGGGTCTCCATATTATGCTTTTTTTTTTTAAAAATAAATGTTGATATTCAAACTTTTAGCAATAAACTGAAGTTAAATTATAAGAGTTTTCTAGATAAAGTTTTAATAAAAGATCAGCTATAGTAATATTGTAATATATACTTATATAAAAATGTATTTTGTTTAAATGTACATAAAAAATTTAAGACGGATCTTTACCTTTAAAGTTGAATTTTTAATTAACCAATAATTTTCGTAAATCAAGGCACAACAATTTTATGTAAATGTTTATTTGTTAATTTTTAATTGAATGATCCACTTATTAATCGCACATAATAATTTAAAGGAGTAGTTATATTTTTAGGTTTACTGTATATCTAAACATAAATTATTTTTATAAATTGTACCCAGACAATTTATTCTAATAACGAACGTGTCAGATATGTAGCATGTCAAATTTTGCTTGATCGAATTTTTTTTTAAATTTTTAGGGTGACGCAGTATATCTTGAAATTTTTTTTTAGTTATCTCTCTCATAATTACGTTATTTCATGAACAATATCGTCTATGTCTTTTTTAGGAACCGGAATTAGATTTCCTGTTTTGGCATTCTTTGACATATCCATTAAATCCTTTACCTTTTATCAGATAAACAAGCATGTTAAAGGTAACAACATCATGAAATATTTATATATTTACAAAAGTCAATCTCATGTTGACATAAATGAGTGCTTAGGTTTGGATAACATGAACGTTAATTTAGTATATGCTGTTTATACGACAAATCTTTCGATTTTTATCACTATTGATGTACATCGTCTCTTTTTTATTAAAAAAAAAAAAAAAAAAAAAAAAAAAAAAAAAAAAGAAAAAAAAAAAAAAAACGGGATTTTAATTTTATATACCTACTCTTTTCATTTTTGTATTTCATCCTTTTGTCCCTTGGTTCGAAATCCTTCGGAATTTTTTGATCATCTGATCCCCAATATTATTTCGGAAACAGATCTCGGAATGAACATTAATTACACACTCTCCGAATCCTGTTAAGTATCAAAAGTATCAAAAATTTGTGTCATATATTCTTTGATATACCCTGAGCTTAAAGTTTCAATATAAATTCAAGGTCAGATTACGGATCTTAAATGATCAAAAAAAAGAAAAGTTAACTTAAGATTCTCCTCGTTCAGCATGTTTTTTGTGACATTAACGGAAGCAATCCACAATTATAAATCAATCGTTTTTAATTATCCAATGTCATTTTATTAAAATATATCAATACCAGAACTAGTACCAAAAATATTGTATATTCTGTCATTACATCATTTATAGAATACGATATTATTACAGTTAATATTCCTCCAGCCCTTAATAATAATTTATGAAATATAAAACACGCCTTTTTTCTCTCGACTTTTATTGTTCACCATACAATTCATTCAAGCAAAAAACGTGTCAGATGAATCGATATTCACAAGGTATTATGAATTTTTAATATGAACCCTTTATAATGAGTAATCATCTATTAATAAATCTTATCTCGAGCCAATAGTTTTATACATTCAAAAGTCATGTCAAAATTACTTGATCAATAGTTTTTGAAGATCTTAACAGTACTTTTAGTACCTTTTTTTTAAAAAAAAAAAAAAAAAAAAAAATTACTTTAAAATCTTTCCTCAAGTTGATTTTTCGCTAATATACACACACATATATATATATCTTTTTTTGGTTTTAATTCATTTGCCCAATATGTCTTTGACATGTATCAAAAAACCCCCCACATCATTTGCATTATCATGATTGATATCGCCATATTTGTAGGGACCGGATGAGGTTTCCTGTTTTAGCATTCTCGCATATATCCAAATTGAGTATAAAAGAGACATTATAACCTTCTTTATTTTGCTCTTAATCGGCAAGGATCAATAAATTTCATTCTATAAAAGTGACCAATAATTGTCCTAATATTAACCTCGCAATGATTGATAGACTCGTTGATCAAGTGATACAAATTTTTGGTGTGTCATCAGGCATATAAATATGTTTGTTGATTGATTTGGAATCGTAGAAAGTCGATCCAATCCTCATGTTGAATTAAATGCGTGCTGAAGCTATTGGATGAAATTTTTTGTACTTTTTTTTACCACCCAAATAATTTAATTTTTTTTGATTTGATTTTTTTTTTTTTGTTATTTTTAAGTGTGACATTCAATCTAATTAAGATCCTACAGTCGGAATATTGTAATCATGTTGATCTCTCATTTTATGACAATCTACACGATTATTTTAATTGACAATTCTAATATTTGAACTGTTGTCGAATGCAGTGACAACCTTTCAACTGAAACAGAAATAAAATTCTCGTCTGTTTTTGGTTATAATTTAAAAAATCAGATTTTAATTTAATTTAATATTTAAATACCTGTGAATTTCTTTCATTTTTGCATTCGTCCTTGCGCTTCAAGGTCCTTTGGTTCGATACCTTTAAACCCCTCTAATTTTTTTTATTCAGCCAAGCGCTAAAGTCCATTAAATCATTGTGCTTGTGTCGTTGGTCTCTCTTTTATAATTTTCATTCTCCTTTATCTTTTTATTTTCTTTGTTCCATTTAAGAATTTACGCGTTAATATAATCATGAAGGTAGATAAATTCTTCTTTGATCATGTCCTCGGATTCAGTGTTATCTGATTTTTATATTCTGGACTTCGTTATGATTTAATTTCTTTATTTATCTTCTGATTCCTTCCCGATCAATTTAACAGTTTGGAAAACAGATCCTCAATCGACAAACCACAGAATGGGCCTCCCATTACATTAATTACAAAGCATTAAAAAAAATTATCAATAGCCTTCAAAGTGCGTACCATAATAACGAACGATCATTACCTCCGACCCCTGTTACTATTGGACCCTCACGAATTCCTCTTAATGCAGATGATCCTTCACAACCTGACGATTATCATGTGTTTCTACAACAGCAAAAGGCTGCCTTCTTTTTCAAACTCGAACGAGAGCTTGAAAAAGTGAGTTCTTCCCCCAAAAAAAAAATTTTGTTCATTCCCATCCATAGATTCTAACTTAAAAATGTTTCAATATGATCCTTCACTTTAGGTGAATACTTTCTACCTTCAAAAAGAAAATGAATTCAAGGTCAGATTACGTTCCTTGAATGATAAGAAAAAAATTTTGCTAGGTAGCGGAAAAAGGTTATCCGCTCGTTCGGCATCTCTTATGACTTTATTGGAAGCATTTCAACAATTCCAACAAGATCTCAATAAACTACAGGTGAATTAACCCGTTATTTGTTATTTAACGTTTGTTGCATTTATTAATGTATTAATATAAAGACATAAATTATAGCAATTCATCGAAATCAATGCTACAGGTTTCCGTAAAATTTTAAAAAAATGGGATAAGCGTTCCAGGACTAGTACCAAAGAACTTTATCTTACACGACAAGTTGAGATTCAACCATGCTTTAACAAAGAAATTATTGCTGATCTGTCGGATAATGTTGAAAACAATTTGACGGAACTTCGTGATATAAAAAACGGGTTGTCCGCGACCCCAATGTCCTCACCATCACCCCCAGGGCGAAGACATTCAATAGGTGAATCGGAGGAACATGACTTAATGGATGATATTGAAATAGAACTTTTCAAAGCCATTACAACAGGTGCACCTTCAACAGTACATGATATACTGGAAAGAATTCGTCAATATCCAAGCGATGAGGATCATGATATTATTTCACGTGTCTTCTGGCGAGCATGTTCAGAGAAAAGCTCTACAGTCGAATCCATTAAATACTTGGTTGATACCAATAAAATTTATTTCAAGTATATAGATGATATTAGTGAACGAACGTGTTTGCATGAGGCTGCTATCGTAGGGAAACTACCTCTTATGAAACTTTGTGTTGAGCATGGTGTCAAGGTAGATTGCACTGATATCTATGGCAGAAAACCGTTACATTATGTATGTATGTCTGGTCATAGCGCAGCGGCCACATATCTATTATCTCAAGGCGCAGATCGTGAAAGTTGTGATCATGATGGCTTTAATCCATTAATATATGCTGTTACGAATGGCCATACCAAATGCGTCGAGATTCTACTTGATAAAGGCGCTCGAATCGAACCACTTGAAGAGGGGGACCATAATCATATTCCTTTATCTTTAGCATGTCAGTATGGTCATAAAGACATTTCTTTGCTGTTACTAGATAAGGGAGCAAGCATTATTCCTGATGCAGAAGGTCTTACTCCTTTGCACCTGACCGCTCGTCAAGGTCATCATGGACTATTAAAAGTCTTGACAGAGCATGGTGCTTTCTTGGATGCACCTGACAAATATAAAGGCTGGACTCCTATATTTTACGCTGCTAGTGAGGGTCATATAGAGTGCGTGGATGTTTTAATACAGGCTGGATGTAAGGTGAACATAACCGATGAAGCAGGGCATTCTCCGATTTACTATGCTGCCTGGGAAGGTCATATAAAGTGTATCAATAAATTATTACAAAGGCCAGGCGGATTCGCAGAGACCGCAGATCCAATCATAGATGAACCCATAGTTGCTGCTGAAAATATGCTAATCGATGGACCGATTGATGAATACCTTAATATGTCTAACAATATTAATAGTATACCATCTTTAATATTACCACCACCTATATTACCACTTCGAATCTATGGACATAGTTACCTAGATAAAAAATATCATATTCAAATTACCCTCGGACATCCTTCGTCCAAACAGTCAAGACCTCCCGTTCACTTATATGGTAACAGTAAAATCTCATCTTTGAAGCTCGTCATGTCCTCAAGGCCGGACATGGGAATAATTCCACATAGCATCATTTTACCATTAGGTGATGATCGAGAGATGTTTTCTTTTCAGGTAGATACTCTTAAATCTTTTTCACTGGAATTCGATATTTTTCCTACCTTTGGTTCCAAGGTTATTGGTAAAGGTGTAGCCTTACCTCATGTATTTGATGTCACCAATGATCATGAAAGAAGAAATAATTTAGTGACTGGAGGTACCGGAGGAAAAGTTATTTGTCCTTTGTTTGATACGCATTTAAAAGTTGTCGGTGAATTAGCGTTCGAATTTGCAATTGTTAAGCCGGTCCAGGGTGTTCAGCTTGAAGTCGGAGGTCAAGTAGAAACTTATTGGAAATCTACCGATACTGTTACACTTTCAAATTCTACAGAACAACAATTAAATCTCAATGAAATAAGTGGAAGTATTCCATCTTTTATAACGGATTCTTCCCTGTCAGGAGAATATATTCAAATTGTAGTACAGGTTACAAGAGACATTATTACTGTCGTATATTCAGAGTGGATGCTGCCTGTTGAAGGATTCGATTTATGCGTATCTGATGTTACATTCAAACAATTCAAGTCCTTAAGAAATCAGCAACAAGAAAATATAGATTTCAATAATATTACTAATTCAGCAGAATTACAAAAATTAATTCATCAATCCTACCTTTCATTAGAGGACGTACTCAAGGTTTTGAGCTTGAAAAGTTTTATGTTTACAATGATTTTTGCTTTGTGAATTAATTAATAAAATCGGACGATACCATTCTTACTCGTTTTTACAGATGTTACCATCATCTCTCGGAGTAAATCTTGAAATAAAATACCCGACGGTATACGAAATGTCCCGGTTTTGTTTTTCCGATATACTCGACATAAATAGTTACGTAGATACCATTCTACAAACTGTTTATCATTATGCTCAAAGTCAATCAATAAATAATCGTTCCGGAGAGAAATCAACAAATCGTTCAGTAATGTTTTCGTCGTTCAACCCGGCAATTTGTACCGCTTTGAATTGGAAACAACCGAACTGTGAGTAAATAAATCTTGTTTATATGAATGAATAAACAGTATATTAATATTTCTGGATTTTTCTTTTATAGACGCGGTTTTTTTTAATTCTTATTGCGGTTTCGATAGCGAAGAAATTAATAGTGGTAAAAAACGTAAAGGGAGAGGAGAAAGCAATAATGAAACATATGAAAATGTCGAAAAAGACAAGCGTTGTACCTCGCTTAAGGAAGCTGTCAAGTTCGCAAAACGAAATAACCTTTTGGGAGTAATTTGCGACGCGACAATATTAGTAAGTGTTATCTAGAATTTTTTTCTAATTATAATTCCCTTTTCTCTAAATCGCTCGCATTTCTTTGGTACTTGTAAAATTTCTACGGACTTGAATAATTATTAAACTCCGCGTCTAATATTCGATTAGGTAAAAGTGCCGTCGCTAATAACGAACGTTAAACAAGCTGGACTGGTATTAACTACGTTTGGAATAGCTAATAATGACGATCATAACATAATATTACAAGACAAATATCAAGTTGACGCGAAGGTTATTAACGGAGTCGTTAAATACAAGCGGACTTGACGCGTTTTATTTTATTTTATTCTACTTTATTTTTTTTATTTTTTATTCTACTTTTTTTACTTTTTTTTTTTTTTTTTTTTTTAAAAAGAAAAAAAAAATACAAAAAAAACATACCAATTCTCACAAGTCATACATGCATAAAGAAACCGGTTTCGTTTAACGAAAATTATTTATTAATTAATTCTAAGAATTATAAGCCATCAAAAATTTTTTCCCTCAAATCTCAACCTTGTTCAATATTCAATTCAATATGTACAAACCTATGTAGATATATTTAAAATTCAAAACTCAAAATCTCAATGAATTATGCAAAAATCAATTTTTTTAATAAAATCAAAATTTTTTTCTCTCAAATTTGTGGGTATGCAATAGTTATTTCATCAACGTTTCTAATACAGTGCGAAACCTCTATAATCGGAACTGATATATGACGATGATATTTATTTTTAGCTGCAAATTCTGCCATTTTTCTAGTAAT